CGGATTTTTATGTTCCGGTGGCGACTCATTAGTGGGAGTGGACTCGGTTATGGATTCCTGGTTTAGTTGCCTTGCCAGAGGGGCTTATTGGTGACTGAACCGGTTGAGACCGTGACTGAGTCTGCTCAGTGAGGTATTTCCGGGTCCGGCTGCGACATACTAGAGGGGCAAACAGCAGCGGGACCTGTTGATGTTATGACGGAGACTACTAACTGAGGGAGTGGTCTTAGTTATGACTTCCGGGTCCGTTTGCGACATGCCACTTGTGAGTTCTTCCAACTGGACAGCGAGGACTGGAAATGCTCAATTGCGCATTTCCTATCTTTGGTAGTGGCAGTCGGCGGGTTCGCGCGCCCGCCGGCCTTGCACGTCCCTACCCTGTCTGGGGTGTATATCTGAGATACACTCCCAACCCGGTGAGGGAACTCGCCCTTCGGGGTGAGTTAAAGGGAGCGAACCGGAGCGGCGTAATGGCCCACTGGCCGATCCCGTTCCTTCACCACCAACCCGAGTGAGGTACATCGCTGAGTTTTAGTGGGTAGGCCCTGTTTCTTGTCCGGTTCTTCTTAGAGTAGGTCCACAGGGAGAGTCCCACATAACCCGTGAACCCTTGCGCCCAGGGTGAGCGGGTATGCGTAACGCATTTCTCAGCGCCAAAAAAAAAAGGTCGTAGGTAGCTCAGTGGTTTCAAATCAATAATAACAAAAAACATTATAACGAGTTCTTAGAAAAGTAGATAGGTAGATATACACTTTATTGCTCACACACAATTATTAATAATAGATAAACAATACAGGTACTAATGCTAGGGTGGGCAAAGGCGGTCTTATCGCTAAAAGCGATCTCTTCCAGACAACCTTTGATTTGTTTAACATTTTGATGGAAAAACCGGAGGTAGTGTGCCTGTAGTACAATAGAAAAAAAAAAAGCCAATAATAATATAATGAGAAAATAAAGTAGTGTGATAATGAAGGTAAATTGAACAAAAATGAGAATTACAAGGTAATCAATATATTATATGTACAAATCCAAAAGATGCTTATGCAATTTAGTTTTGAAAATGGCAACAGATTTTGCATGTCGAATAGCAGACGGCAGCTTATTCCAGAGCACAGCAGCTTTAATGGTAAATGACTCATGGTAGTATCCCGATCTAGTATAAGGAATCTCCAGCACATTATCCGCCCCAGACCGCAGCTCGCGATTATGATTTGCGCCCAGAAATCGGAAACGTTCCCTAAGGTAAGATGGACTACGCGGATCGTAAAGGATCTTAAACAGGAATGTGAGGACATGCTCTTCACGACGCTGTTTTATGGGGAGCCACTCAAGTTTACGTCTAAATTCAGTTATGTGGTCAAATTTACGCAAACCGTATATGAATCTAATACAAAGATTTTGTAAACGCTGTAGCTTGTTGAGCATGTCCTCATTCAGATCAATGAGACAGACATCAGCGTAGTCCAAGATAGGCATAAGTAAAGAATGCGCCAATTCAATTTTAGTTTTTAAAGGAAGCAGATTTTTCCAACGTCTAAGTGCCCCTGTGGTAGCATACACCCTTCGGCTAACTTCAGCAATGTGCGGAGACCAGGAGAGGGAGGGATCAAAGAAAACGCCCAAGTTTTTAACTACACTACTAAGAGATAGAGTGACTCCACTCAAGGTAAGGGGCGGAAGGACCATGTGATTAAGCTTTGCAATCTGTTTCGCACCACCGATGATGATAGCTTGTGATTTATTAGGGTTAACTGTAAGGCCGTAAGCTTGACTCCATTCTTGGATATTCACAAGATCAAGATTAACCTTAGCGATCAGCTCATTGATATCGTCGACTGAGGCCTGAGAAAAAATTTGTACATCATCTGCATATAAATGATATTGACACGAGAGAAGGGGTGTGAGGTGGTTAATAAAAATAGAAAAAAGTAGAGGGGAGAGGACACCACCCTGGGGCACACCAGCTTCCACTTCAGAAAAACAAGACATCCTGTCGTCAACACGGACACATTGTTGTCTTCCAATCAGGAAGCTCCGGCACCAACCTAATACTGTATCCGAATTAAATATAGTTCTGAGCATAGCCAACAGTATATCGCTGTCAACAGTATTGAATGCATTACTGAAGTCCAGGAGAACCAATATAGTCACTTGTTGCTTCGACATACCTTCTCGAATCTTATCAGTCACATCAATCAAAGCCGAAGCCGTGCTATGCCCCGGGCGGAAACCGGATTGCAAAGGACTCAAAAGGTTATGAGAATTAATAAAGGAGCTGATCTGACAGTGAACAAGGCGCTCAAGGACCTTTGAAAGAAAGGGCAGGATGGAAATTGGTCTAAAGTTTGAAGGCAAAGAGGATTTGAGGTTATGAGTTTTAGGAATGGGAATGACTACTGCTTTACGCCAGCAGCAAGGAAATGTTCCGGTATAGAGCGAGAAGTTATAAATGTGGCAGAGAATAGGATAACAAGAACCACAGAGCCAAGTGTAATCATCCTGCGACTGATGCCGTCAATGCCTTCGGAGTTCGATTTAATGGCTGAAATGCATGTCACGACTTCACTCTCAGCCACCCTTCTGAAAGAGAATACAGGTCTTAGAGGATTACAAGAGGAAGAAAGCAGGAATTGGCTGTTGCAGAGTAAGCTGTTTTAGATTTGCAGGAATTGGGACAACTGTAGCAAAATGGCGGTTTAACAAATTAAGATCGAGGTCACGGGGAACATCAGACTTAAGTTTGCCAATACCTAGTGAATTAAGGAAAGACCAGACCTTAGCAGGATTACTATTAGACACAGAGTTATGTATATAGCGCCGCTGAGAATCTCTGCACAATCTGCAACAGCGATTCCGCAGAGTCTTATATAGTCGCTGGTTTTCCTCTGAGGGATCATTCCTGTAATATTTGGTTAGGATAGTATAGTACCGAGAGACTTAGCTAACTTAGTTCTGAGAGACTTAACTAAAGATCTGGAGGTGATATGTTCGATTAAACAAAGTAAGAATATTCATAATATAATTATTTATATTATTGGAATTAGTACCAGTTGCATGTTAGCAGAACAACGGATGGAGTCAGAGAGTGTTGGTATGGAGACCAAGAGGAAATAGAAAGTCGGTCGACAACCAAAAAAATATGTTGGCGATATTGATAGCCTAGCACACAAAACCCAAGATAGGAAAATATGACTCAATATTATATTTAAAATATACCACAATATTGACAAAATTTGACATCGAGAAAGGCGTTACGCCTATACGTTTCACCCAGGGCGATCTCAAAAAAATTAAACATAAAGTTTTTAAATTATTTCATAAATATTAATTATAGGGTTTTGTCCTACATCTTTATAGTTTATTTCACAAAAGTTTAAAATAGTAAAAAGTAGTTATAAAAAGTTATAAATGTTTGTTGATTGGTGGCTTACTCTTAACTAACTTTAATAACAATTAAATTACATTATAGCAGAAAATGCTGATCCGCATAAATACGTTCTTTGACTCGAGCCACTTATATTGTACGGTTATGCGTACATGCTCCCGAGGGCGAGATAAAACATTAGACAATTATAATTACAATGCTATAAAAACGATAAGCTATAATTTGAACAAATAATAAGCATTGTCTGTATCTTATAAAATTAATTTTACACAATGCACAGCACTAATCACTGTGACTGAATAGTTTGTTTACAACAACTGGTGACGTCGCTTTGTTCACACTTGTGTACAGGTTCGATTCTTGACTAATAGTTTCGTCGAAAGTACGGATAGTACTTTAGGAACCGTTAGGTTGAATGTGTGGTCCCTACTGTGGTGATGGAGACAAATGGCCAGGGAGACTAAAGGATAATTGTCTCCCTATTAGCTAGGTGTAGTTAGCCCGGGGATCGCGGTCCAACCCATGTAGGTTGGACGTTCTATTTATGTTAATTGGTAATGAAACTTATTCTGTGCGATGTACATTTCTTTGTTCTAAATGTCTTGTAGTTATTAATTTATGATGTTTGTATTGGTACAGCGTCATCTCGTTACTTGTTCTTGAAACTTTTTGCAGTTAGTCTTGCTATCGATGGCTGTGACGATGCTAGTCTTCTCGCTATCGATTGCTGTGGCGATGTTAGTGCGATGAGTTAGATGTCGCTATGTATCAGTCGCCACAGTACTAATCTGTCTTTTAGGCACATGTGGACGTTGAGTAAGAGGAATTGGAGGCTCTGTAAATGGTTGTTCATCTTGTCCTGTAGATGAAATGATTGCAGAACAGCATCTTCGTCCGCGCCGCCACAAGTAGATAGTCACTGCCAGGAGGATTCCCCCAACCAGGACGTATAACAACGTGCTGGTGTACGTCATGTGTAGTGAGAGAGTTCAGGACTTCATCGTTCTCGTCCTTCTTCATTTGTTGGATTTGTTTGTCTATTACTTCCAATTCTTGTCCATACATTTCATACTCTGATCCATTGATACCTTTAGTTCAATCGAAAGTATACTTGTTTTGAAGATGTTATTAATTGGATGTATGTCGACCTTGAGAACAGGTGATTGTACTGTCAGCCTATTAGTTTGTGCTATCTATAATTTCTATCTTCAAATAAATTCATGCGAGTGACTTTTAGACAAGGCTCCAACGCATTAGCAATTTGCGGGACTTACCTATATGTTAATTTTATTTTCTTTACTTTTACGAGGCTTTTTACTTTTAGTTTTTTGGAAATAAAGTCGATTGTGGAACGCTTCTGACAATTAATTTTTTGCCTGACGATTCTTTCAATGAATTCTGAAAGAATTGTATTTTGGGTTTTTAGCATTCTATAGATCAAAAGCAGCGAGTCGATTAGGCAATAGTACCTTATTAAAAATAATAAATATATAAAACATAATAAAAAAAAGACGCCCACCACAAACCCCTTCAAATTGAATAGTATGTGCGTAAGTACATATAATAACTTCTTTTATTTACCAACTCCACTGAATTGGTACGTAGGTAAATAAATGGCTACAGTAAAACTACAAGGTACTACCACGAACACGCTAGATTAACTAAATAATTCACACATTGAAATTAATTTATTTGAAAGCACACAATGAACTATCAGTTACCTACTGTCCAACACGAAATTCATTTCAATTACTACCAAGTTACACTCTACACATAGTTGACGTCTGGTGGACGAATTTCTGAATGATAAAAATAGTGATATAAAATTTTTTTCGTAGTGTAAAATGCGAGTTAGCGGACATAATGTAAAAGTTAACAATATTTCAAATACATATAAAACATGTCGTGTTCTTAACTTCATGTTAAGCGTGTTTGGTTTAAATTGTAATGTACATCGCAATGCGAAGCTTATGCTCATAAGAATCTTTCTATCAATAATTATCCTAGGTGCATTACTTGTGTTCGTTATTTATTATAAAGCAAATCACATCAATAAAGTTTTAAATAAGTCTGTAACGGCAACCGATACGGCTCAAAATATATACGACTATTTTCAATACATCATCGACTTATTCTACGTATATAAGTATGGTGGTCATGTTTACTGTGAATACTTCAAGCAATACTCTACCATCGATGACATTATTGGGAGAGAAAAGGACATAAACCTGATTAAAAATAGATTGTCTAAACTTAGTGTTATTTTTATTACAATTTGGTTGTTAAACAGTATATGCGACTTCGTAGCCTGGTCATTAACTTTCGGATGGAAAACACCTTTAATTTATTCACCATCGTACCTGTATTTACTCATAAGGATGGTGACTAATTTGGATACTATCTGCCAAATATTGAATATACAGTGCAGAATGCGCGTGATATACAATATAGTGCACGATAGTTACGAGTCTGCAGATAGTTTGTCTGTAACAATATGTGATACTATACAAAACAAGAATTGGTTCTACAATAGAAAAACACCTGACTCTACTCACAAGAAAATAACACCACAAGAGTACAACAGAGACAAACAACTCAGCAAATGTTACTTATTATTAACGGAACAGTGTGCGTACATCAACCAAATGTTTGGTTTCAGGGTAAGTTTTCGGAACCTTGCTTGTCTATAACAATAAAAATTAGTTAACAACCTCAAAGTCAAAAAATATCTTAAAATAATTTGCTAATTTACAACAACAGTAATGAATAAAACATCGTTGACTTGCTCATCTATTATATACTAATACTAGCTAGCGTGGTAAAGTTACTTTGAGCAGAATTACTTACGAATATTTATTCATTATATCATGTAAAATACCTGATATAAAGTTTTATCCCCTATTTTATCCCCTTAGGGGTGGAATTTATCAAATTCCTTTTTAGGGGATGCCTACGTCATAGTAGCTTTATGCATGCAAAGTCTCAGCCCGATAGGTTTAAAATTGACAAAGTTTCATCCAAACTTTCATCCCCTATTTTATCCCCTTGGGGATAGAATTGATGAAATCGTTTCTTAGCGGATACCTTCGTCATAACATCTATCTGCATCCCGAATTTCAGCCCGATCCGTCCAGTGGTTTGGGCTGTGCGTTGATAGATCACTATGTCAGTCAGTCCCCTTTGAGTTATTTTTATTTAGATTTAAAAAAAAATCTGACTTTGTTTGTTTGTAAGGGGTAATCTTTGGAAATACTAATCCGAACATGAGAATTCTTTTACCTATGGGAAACTATACCATACGCGAGGCTAACTTATAATTTAATTTACATGCGCGATGACGCGGGGAACAGTATATCATTTAATAGGTTTAATCACTGTTTATACATATTTTAAATGTTTTCAGATTCTGCTTAACACTTTCAGTTCTTTTATCGATATGGTTAGATTTACTAACCTAACAGTTCGAATGATTGTAGGTACTCAGCTATGTTTCAAAATATTATATAAATTATGTAATAAAAAAAACTATACCGGCTACGGTCCGTGTCTGTTCGCGTCTTTGGATGTCTTACTAAAGATATATACATATCACTAAACATACACAGTATAGAATAATATTATTTTATCTGTTCTATTACGTGTCTGGCGTGCACAATGTGTGTAGATGTAAACATACCTTTACCCGATATTGGGTCCCACGTTGGGCGCCACGAGTTTAAAACTAAAATTATTTGCTCAATTATCAATCGTGACTAATTGAAACTTGACTGATATAAATTCAATTTTTCCAGCCTATTCAATATGAGTCGATTTGCTTCCCAATCGCATCTACTATTTGTCGACTGCTAACCTGCGTGCTCATTTTCGTCAGCCTAATAATAAACTGCGAAAATACTTATAGAGAAAATGAAAGAATCATCTACGTCATTGACCATATGTTCATCAACAAAAATCCAGGTATGTAATATGTAAGAATGTTCATCTGTTCCCTTAACTCAGCTACTCATCGTAACTGGACAAAAAAGTATCATTAAAAGCGTCTTAGTTGTAGGCGTGCTTTAGGCTATGTGACGTTACATTAAATTAGCAACAACGCCCTTTAGAGAGCATAAATACTCGTATATAGAGCTTTGCTTAATCTATCTATATATAGAGCTTTGCGTAAATACACCCGAAAAGTAATTTATGTCGCTAATCATAACAAAATAATTTGTTGTGGTATGCGACTATGCTGTCCTTTGGTTATCGCTATTATTATACCTATAGTTATCGCTATAAAATAATTCTGTTGATTTTGATGTATTTCTCGGTGTTATGGTTTCTCTTAATGTATCTGCAGCCGCAATTGATTGGTTTCGTAGTTATCTGCTTACTTACGCCGGCAACGCATCCGTATTGACGATTTGGTCTCTGCTTGGTGTAATAACAATGCAGGCGTTCCTGAGGGTGGCGTCTTATCTCCACTGCTTTTTTCTATCTTTATAAATCACTCGATCATTATCATGTTCTTATCACCTGTACGCTGACGATCTCCAGATTTATACCCAGGGACCGCTATCTGACCTTTCAAGGGCAGTTTCGGTTACCAATTCTGACTTATCACTAATCAATAACTGGAGTAAATCATATGGTCTTATCGTTAATCCATCTAAGACACAAGCTATTATAATTGGCAGCCGTCATTTCGTTTCTGGGATTGATTTTGATCGCCTGACCTCTGTAAAGTTCAATGGGACCATAATTCCCTACTCTAAAACAGTTAAAAATTTGGGAGTTATCATCGATCATCATTTCTCTTGGAGGCCGCAGGTAGAGGCAGTCAGGAAAAAAGTATTTGCTGCCTATGGTTCTCTAAGTCGCTTGCGTAATTTTCTGCCAACTAGTACTAAAATCACCTTGGCGCATTCTCTTCTGTTGTCTATCATTGACTACGCTGATGTATGTTATACGGATCTGTCGGAGGAGCTTCTTCACAAACTTGAGCGTCTGCAGAATGTCTGCATTAGATTCATTTTTAATCTTAGGAAATATGATCATATGTCACAATTCCGATCCAAGTTACAATGGCTCCCTTTTCGCCGGCGCAGGGACTTGCACACTCTTACGGTTCTTTAGTCTATACTTTTTCTCCCATTCTCTCCGCCTTATCTTAAAAAATGCTTCTCCTTCCGCTCTTTCTCTACACAATGTTCATTGCGTTCCTCTACCAATCTCACTCTTGAGATTCCTCGCCACTCTACAGACTTTGTTTCCTACTCCTTCTCTGTGCATGCTGTGCGGCTTTGGAATCAACATTAATTTACATCTGCCTTTTTATCATCTTAGTAACTATATATTTGTCTAGAGTTGTATCCGTTATTTATTTATTTATTTATCCTTCCTTATATTGCACCTACTACCCCCACACTATCCATTAAAACTTCTTTTTCTCTCCATTGGTTGCCTGGAAGAAATTCCTGCACAGCAATAAGGCCGCCATTTGTGTTCTGTTTCTTCTTAATGTAATTTTCCTGTAACCTGTGTTATATTAAGTGCAATAAAGTGTATTATTATTTTCTTGTTTTAAACTTTTTAGCGTGATTTAGCTGTAGTCGGGTTATAGTTTTTAAACTTATTTTTTTTAACTTAACAATTAATAAATTAAGATAAAATCGATTTTGCCAAGTCGATTGGAAAAAGGATTCTTGTAGTACTGCTGATTCGTCAATCAGTATCGTCAATGCTGTCAATGCTGTCGACTGTACCTACCTCGTGTGTTCATAAATTTTGAGACGAAATAAAAGATGCGTAACTTGTTAAATAATTAACTTTTATTTCTAAAATTTTCAATAACTATTAAATAATAATAATAAAATATCTATTTTATTCAAGATCGTATTTCAGTACTCGGTTCACTGAAACGCACGAAATATTAGTCCGCAGAGCGAGTTTTTTCTGAGTGCAACATGGATTTCGTCGAAGTCGCTCTTGGATGATTTTGACGTTCGCAGGCGTCCTCACAGAGCGTAGCCGACTACTTCTTTGGCGATCTTGCAGAGAACTTGTCTCTTGTACCTCTGTATTGTGCAATAGACGAAGTTACGGCTTACAGGAAAACTTTTCAGCTCGCGGAAAATCTGCATCGGTTTTTTTCCCCGCCTTAAATAGCGAAATGACAGTTGCACGTAATTGTTTCGTTCCCTCTATCACGAGAAAATATAAACAAATGAATTTGCGATACAAATAAACTGAAAGTTAATTTTTGATACAGTTGCTCAAAAAGTGGCGGATTGCAGGGATGTATAGCGTTCGGGATGTGGGCTGTGGCCAGTATTACACACTGGTACTTTTTTTTACCTTACCCGCACTCGTGCGTTCTCTTTCCCAACTGTCAAAATAATGTCTATTAATAAGAAAAACCAACCATGAAGTTTTTATGATTCATTTAAATACGTAGCGTAAGTCGTATATTTCTAAAAAAAGCTACTAATTTGTTTCGATATAAAATTTAATGATTTGATTGAATTAGTGAGGTTAGGTTTCATTTCATTTTATCTCATTAAATTTCATTTTCATTTCATATCAAAAAAAAAATCTACTGAAGACTTTGCTGATAAGATAAGATAAGATAAGATAAGATCTTTATTTGCCAGAACACAAGTCATTGAGGTCACAAATAATCAGACATTTATGGGCATTTGCCTACCAGGATGGGTGAAGAAAAAATGGCTCCATTTTGCAGAAATTTTCTTTGCGAGTTTAGTTGTTTGTTGCACAAAATGAGTAATTTCGACATTTTCGATCCTAATTTGTTTGAATTTACACCACCGGAACCCTGTATAATTGCACAAAATGCTTCGGAGAATATTTTACCGGAAAAGTCAAAAAGTCGCTACATATCTACATACGACGAATTTATTGCGTGGGGAGAAGAGAAAAAAGCAAATAGCTTTTTCAGTGAATGTTATGTTGGCATACTTCTCCGAACTCTCAGCAAAATTAAAACCTTCTACTTTATTGTTGAGGTTTTCGATGATAAAAAGTATCTTGAAAATGAGGAACAACATGGATATAAGTAAATACCCAAAATTAAATTCTTTCTTAAAACGACAATCAGACTGTTTTACAAGTAAAAAGTCGAAAATATTAACATCGAATGAAGTGAAGTGGTTTTAAATGAAGCTCCCGATGATCGTTATTTAGCCACAAAGGTAATTTATTAATAAGTACTTATATTTTTCTTTACTATTCAGTTTACGAAATACAGTCAATACATAATTTAAAAACATATTGATCAAATCCCTTTTTTGTAGGTTGCTCTGATTTTTGGCGTTGTTGTAGCTTACCGCAGAGAGGAGTTAGCCAATATTAATTTAAAAGATATTGAAGCCCATGGAAAAATGCTACTAATCTAGTTATATATGCTATGCTTTATTTGACGACCTCCGTAGCCGATTGGTTCGCACGCCGGTTTCAAGGTGTCGCCATCTCTGAGGTCCTGGGTGCGATCACCGGTCGGGTCAATGTAGAAAATGAACTTTTCTATATTATGTCGGGTCTGGGTGTTGTGTTACTTTCGTTGTCTCAGATACTCCATAATACGGGGGCTTTGACTACTCATCTTGGAATCTGAACAATGTATGTGATATTGTGTAATATTTATTTATTTATATATTATATAATCAAGATTCCGAACACAAAAAATAAGATCCCGAGAAGCTTTGTTGTTGAAGGTGTGCTTTTACAATAGTGCAAAAATATAAGAATCAGCGGTCCCAAAAAAGGAAATACCGACCGTTTTTTTCAAAATTACCAAAAAGGGAAGTGTACAGCTCAAGCAATCGGGATAAAAAAAATTGTAATATGCCAAAAGAAATAGCTATGTTTCTTGGTCTGCCGGATGCTGACCTCTGCTACATTATTGGCAGATTCAGGAGCCAATTTGACGTCCTTAAAGCGACTAGGAGGTTGGAAATAAGACAAAGTTGCAGATAGCTTTCTGCAACTTTGTCTCATTTCCAACATTGGTGATTCATTAAACAACAAACTAGAAACTGGGAAAAAAATCACACAATCTATTAATTTAAAGTCCAGTCCGTCTCCTTCACACGTTGAAGAGAACGGTCGTCCATCTACCGACGTTGAGAATGATAATTCATCAGATCCAGTTCCATCAACTAGCAAACGCCATAGTATGACAAATATACATAAACAATCATACGAAATTAATAATAATTTGTCTTAAACAGTAAATATGCAACCTAAAACTTCCCCAGTTAGTACAAAAAACTGAACCAATTTCAATGTATGTAACTTTTATAAAAAATAAATGATTAGTTAGTTGAGTTTATTTTGTTTTTATGATTTTTTTAAATTGCTCCATTTTTTTCGCAACTACATTAAAAACAGTCGTTCAGTACACGTGCGGAACCGTCATTGCAACTCGTTCCAACTGTCAACCGTCGCATTCGGCTGCGCCTAGACTCGGGTAGACATTATCGGAACTCGTTGCAATGACAGCCTTTCCGCCCTTGTAATGAAATATACTAATTCCAAATTCAATATCGTTAAAAAAATAACAGCCAGTTTTCATTTTTCATTTCGTTTTATTTTTTTCAGTAAAAAGTTTGTCTCAAAACTTATGAACACACGAGGTACATACAAAAATATTATATCCTTATTTTTTCACCTTGTAATTTACTATTTGTAATAATTATATGCTATACGTTGTCAGAAAGCAATAATAATACGCTGTGAACGCCAGCAGTGGTAGTAAGAAAAATAATAATCACGTAAAGTTTTTTTCTTGATTGGACAGGTACTGGTAATTTTGATTTATGATACACGTATTCTATTGTTCCACTTTTCTAATACCAATCGATATTAAATTATACAATATCTACTTTGAATGTTAGCTAATTATATTTGGATCTTAATTTTGTTAATATGACATCAACCATCATCATCAGCCCTTTAACGTCCCCACTGCAGGAGCTCAGGCCACGCGCGAAGCACGATGTAGTTCGAGATAATAATTTTTTGTTCACCCATCCCGTGACAGACCATTGCGAATCGTGGGCCACGGCGCGTATGCAATACGCCACCGAGCTACTCATATGACATCCGTTTATTGATAAACGCTTTTTTACGCAACGTTTAAAAATAAATTTTAGATTAATATACAAAATATTTATTTTTATGAAAAAATCTACAACTTCCCGAGCGTTCCCGAGTAAGAAAACGAATGCGGTCACTACAATCTACATTGTTTCCTATGCCTAGAACGTCAAACTCTTATTAAAAAAAAACAACAAGTTTCATACTATTTATTAATATAGCAAAAACAGTATATCCAAAATTTTTCAAAAGTGTTGTTTTTTGCTAAATAACAATGTATATTTTAAATGAGATTCTGCGGAATTTGCGCATACATGTATTAACTCCAGCTGTACTTCTTGTTGTTAAGGTCCAGAATTACGAGCATCTATGTCGGAATTACGGGATCTGATGCAGTCGCGGCCAGTGAACTTTCATCTGGCCAACTTCTTTCGTGTCGACTACTCACTATTAATGTCCACCGCCTCAGTCGTCGCCACATACTCCATTATTCTGCTGCAGAGCGTCAACTAATTACAATATTAATTAAGAAAGATACTTTGATTAAAAGGATATATGTAGTTTATTTTTAATGCAATGCAATCACAAAAAAATAAGTATTGCAGTCGATTAGATAACCTACTGTATTATCGTTATATAACGATAATATATATGTTATTATAACGTGTCTGTATTATACTCGTATTATATAGATAGTTAAGATTGCTATCGAATAGGTGATATCGATTAATAAATTATGACTCATAAGTTGTTGTAACTTTCGACATTTATAATTCTTATTTATGAATTATAAATATTATAATTGAAAAGATATAGATGCTAAGTTCATAAAGTCTGTCTGTATGATTGAAATAGAAATTAACAATTAATTTGTCATTTTGTCCATTTGGGAAAACCTTAAGTAATCATAGTTGCGTTGCATTTTGTAAAATGAGCCGTACAATACGTATATATGTATGTAAAATAATAAAATTATGATATAATAATTACTTCTCATTAGAGAATTATAATTAATAATCTAAGCCTTTAAATGAGTAATTCTTGTGTTGGAAAAATATTGGGAACGGCTTCAACGATTTTTATGAACTTTATTTAGTATGCTAGTTGTTTCGGGGGTGATAAAACGACATAGTTAGATTTAATTTACAAAAAATAATTGCTGAACAATGCTCGGTCATCCAGGTACTTATTACTAAACACGCAATCACGAAAGTTATGATGTTCGATAACGATTCTTGTAACTAATACATCGTAACAGCCATTTAGATATTCCACACAAATGCTTTTCAGATATATAAAAATAATATAAAGATTGTTTTCATTTGTTAAGTTTTAAAATAGTTTATATGTAATTGTAAAATAATATGTATTGTATAGAAGGCAATGTTTCTTGATACAGATATTTATTATTTAAAAGGACATATTGTTAAAACTACATATTGTAAACAAACAGTTATAAACAAAAGGATGATTTTTTTGTAGTGTTGTTTTAAGTTTCTCTATTTTATAAGTTTAACGTCTCTTAGTCTTGACAATGCAAGCAATTCACCAGGTAATTCAGATTTTAGTCAGAAAGGTAATCTAGTACCTGATATTTCATCAGAAAATTTACTCCAATGCCCACGACGTTCTCAGTCTTGGTACTTAAAAAGTACCACAGGTCTCAAAAAAAAAATCATTTATTACGGTCACAAAAACAATTAGCACAACCGTACAATCTACCGGCACATAATCCGATCCCACAAACATGTGATGATGATACACCATCTCAAACTCTTTGGCAAATAAATTCAAAATTAAAGTCTTCTATTCCCATCATAGAAAGAATTCCTCGAGGAGAACGTAGGAATTGACGAAAACAATTAAAAATGTCAATTCAAAAAATACACCTGAAGCCTTGGAACATCTATTTACCGTTGCTTATAAATATTTCACGCTTCTCCAGACCACCCTAAAAACCAAAAATCTTTACAACTATTATCAAAGAAAACTGCCAGAAACAAATGCACACTTTCCGTCAAATTACCGGAATAGTACCAATCCAAAATCTGTTTTTTATTACGTAGAACCCATCCGACCAATCGCGGTAGGTTCTACATTTCGCCGTCTTGTTGCTAAGATAGGTTGTAGAGCAAACCGTATCATGCTTTACTTTGATCCTTCCCAACTGTTTTACGATCAGCACCTTTTTGAAAACACACAAACTTTACACTTTTAATGGACACTGCAATTAAAGAAATTGTTTCCTAATATCGATATTCAGTAGTACTAGACAGTACTATACTGACTACTGTCTGCCATTGGGTTTATAACTTATAACAAAATCGAGTTGATATGAGATTTCAAAATTGCAAAGATAACAATGGTTTATACTTTTGGTAAATAAATAGATTATATTAAAAAATATTCGTCTTTTTGTTCCTCCCATACTATGTTCTGTGCTCCCATACCAAACACCAATATCATATGTAAGGCCTAATATATGGGCTCCTAAACATGTGTGCAAAATTTTATAAATTTATGTAGGTTTATTTATTTATGTAGGTAGTAATTCTTTTTTGTTTGATTATTTAAATTTCAACTTACTTTACAGGACAAGTTTCATCAAATTCCTAAGTCATTTCGAAAATATATAAGTTTAATTATCGATAAAAGGAAGAATATACATATAAATTAAAACCGACTTGAAGTCGGTCAAATCATATAATGATCAATAAATGTAAAAATTATTCGAAGAACTTTTACTGCAACATCAATTTCTATAATAATTTTTCACCTTCATTAATCAAGACTTTTTAAAAACGGTTTTATTCAAGTCCCTTTTATGAAAAAGTTCAAAGCTACTCAAGCATAGTAGAGAAAGGTAACAAGTGCTTGAAAAATTCTTCAGTCCTATTAGGTCCTGAGAACCTCAGTGGTTAGAGCACTCGCGAATTGTGAACGCAAAATTGATCAAATATAATAATTAAACTATATTTTCATATTCATCAAAATTTTAAAAATATTTGTAAAAATATTTCTTTCGGCAGTTTGGGTGAATTGCCTGAACATTGATGAATATACGCTCGTTAGTAACGAAAAGTAACAAGTGCTTAAAAATTCGTCAGTCCTGTTAGGTCCTGGGTAGCTCGGTAGTCAGAGCAGTCTTACAGATTTCGAAAAGTCGTGAGTTTTAGTCCCATCTCAGAGTACCTGAAGCTGGTGATTTTTAAGCATCTTTAAGAGTATATTCCTGCACAGTATCGGTATAGCTCGAGTGCAGCTCGGTGGAGTAACTGTAATGGATAAGCGCCGTGACCCGCGATCGTTGTTGTTAAGTAACCTTCGCAAGGATCGGTCACGGGATGAGTGACTAAAACATTATTATCTCGACCTACTCCGTGCTTCAGAAGGCACGTTTAGCGGTTGGTTCCGGCTGCATTTGCAGACTTTAATACCCTCGAATTCGCATTGGGCGGGTGATGGCCCATCCTTTTTTGTATCCTTATAATTTTTTTCTCTTAGTGGATTTCTTCACATTTTTTTCATTAGGCACGAGGGGCCCCTAGGCCGTTGCCTACTCTGACTTAAGGGTAATCCGTACCTGGTCAAAGAAAATAAATAAAAGAATCGACATTATCGCACAAACACAACCAAGTAATATGATGGTTACTTCCATACCAGAGTTAAACAAAAAATCTGATAAAATAACTTGGGTTGATAATTTGTGACATTCACCTCCACTAAAGGATACATAAACCTCTTCTCGACTTACTCAGCAGAAACAGACGTGTAATTATTGTGTAATAATGAATAATTTGATTATATATTATTAATTATTATTTGACTGTTGATACTGTTATGTGCTTATCAATATTATCAAATCAAAACATATATAAGTATACAGAATGCATTATTGATTATTATTTATTACCTACAATTACCTATCCACAGATCCTACAATATTTTACATATTGCTCGATATCACCAGCCTATCTATCTTTCCCTACTGCTAGGCTCTACCTTCCCTTTTGATGGAATCGAATAGGGAGAATGGCCCGTGA